CATGTGGATAATACTCTTATTACTTTATAGGTGAGAAAACTATATATGTGGGGGTTAAAAATTTACCAAGGCTCACAGCAGGCAAGAGCAGAGTGCGGAACTTCAGATAATTCAATGCCACACTAGTCCTCAACCCTAATATAGATGTGAGCTCTTATTCTCATATAACAATTCTCCTAACCTTTGTAACATACAAGTTATATGACGTAGATAATAGAACACATCTTTTCTTAGCAAAAGAAAAGTTTTCTTTTGGTTCACCGTGGGATCTTTATAACTGCATCCATTTCTAGAACATCTAAAACATTTTGTTATCATTTAGTTTAGGCAATACCATCATATCTTTTTTTCTGTAAAAAGTTCATGGACGATGGAAAGAGCACCACATCAAGAAGCCAAGAATGCAGTTAAAATAAACTTCTATTATCACTTTGTAGTCCTTAATAATTATTACATTCATAATCGTTCTGAGAGGTATCATACGAGGTTAGACTTCAGTTGAATCCAAAATCCTATAAATGTCTATTTCTTTGTCATTGACTTAAAATAAAGTGTTTTTTTTTTGTTTGTTTGTTTGGTATCAGGGATTGAACTCGGGTCCTTGAGCTTGCAAGGCAGGCCACTGAACCACTGAGCTAAATCGCCAGCCCAATAAAGTGGTTTTTTTTTCATACTATTGGAGAAAATCATTTTCTAAAATGGTAACTGGAATAGCTTAGAATACTTTGTGAACACTGATGGTTGTGTCTGACATTAGTAACATTAGCAAACTTCCTGAAACGTTTTTATCCACTCTGGAAACATTTATAACAAATATTCATTTTGTATTTATTTACAAAAAAATGAACTCTTTTGAAAATCATTTTGAACATATATTTACATCCATAAAAATCTGTAACCCTCTCTTCTTGCAACATTCATCAGAGTAGATTGCTCAATGCACATCCTTTTGAGGCACAACTAGTAGATATTAGCATGTTAAATTGAGTAAATGGTTACATAACATGGTCAAAAGTGTGTCTGATGCTGCTTGACTTACTTAGTAAAGTTCTAGTTATCCTGATACTATGTATAAAATGAACAGAACATCGGTAGTGAAGAATTTGATTTTAAATTCCTGACTGTGATTGTTTATGAATTTTCCCCATGACTATGAAAAATGAAAATTTTTGGTCTATAATAATTACATCTGAAAGAGAATTTAAAACATGTTAAAATTTAAATAAATCAATAAAAACAGCTCAAAACTCTGCTTGACCTTGTCTTACGAAAACCTCCTAAAGTCATATTTAAGAGATTTCCCTTTTTCAGAGTATAATACTTTATTATTTACGTATTGAAAGAAAATTAAATTATGTATAAAATGGCCACAAATTCAATGTGGATATATTTTCCCAAATTGAAAACCTTCAAGCCAGTACTATTAGAATTCATCTTGAGAAAAAAGGACAAATATTATACGATTTCATTAATAATTATGAAAAATTTTCAACATTTAGAAAAGGCATATTATTATAGTCAGAAATTTGATTACTGATTACCAGGAACCAGATACAGTCAGAAGAATTGGTACTAAGAATAACTACTCATATATTTGAGTTTCTATGTGGGATATTGGTAATCTTCTGAAATTAGGCATGTGGTTGGGTAACTTTTTGAATCTATTAAAACCACTCACAGATCATAAATAAAAGCAATGGACTTCATGTATTCAATATAAAAATATTATGTCTACTCTTAATGAAAGAAAAAATCAATCACAGAATGATTAGCTCATAAAACTAATACATTTCTGATGAAACTATGATACACATTGTCATAAAAGATCAGGTCACCAAGATATAATGCCTTGTTATATGAATAGAATTCTGCTAAATTTTTTAAGCTTCAAATCAAGAGATACATGTCAGAATGGGCACCCACTCTTCAAAGGAAAAATGTATAATGGACTTGCAGCCCATCATCTAAAAATCACAAAATATTACAACTTCAAAGACCTATGTTAGTATAACTCAAGTGTAAGAAAACCACACCCGGGTGTAATGCTCACAGGGCAATGAGACTATCTTATATACTGTTAGGAAAAAAAGACAAAGGCTTAAGAAATTACATAAATAGAAAATAGCATTAGAAGTGGTATTACTAACTGGGCCAGAAGAAAGCAACATTGTTTTAGGCTTGCATGTTTTAGAGTAATTTGTTTGCTTCCTTCCTGGGAAAGGAAAAACAATTGATTTGTTCTCCCCGTAGAATTGACTATCCACAAATATAGGCTCATAAACTATAATTTATGACCTGTTTTCGGAAAAAAATGTATTTAAAGCTTTTGCTCTGAATATTTTACTTGAGTTGATGGCTTTTGCCTCTTTCTCCTGCCAGTCAGTCTTTCCTACCTTTGTTTCTCAGGACAGTTTTGGATTGCTGCCTGACTTCTTGTGCTGTCCTAATCAATGTCCTTTCTGTTGCTTTTGAAAGCAGCACCTGATACTCCCTTGGGACACCGAGTCTCTGTCAGTGTATGTGCTCTTGGAAAGGTCACCAAGCAGATTCCTGAGCTCACATAACCGAAGGTCAGCAAGTGAGTAAAGATCAACCATCAGACTCTGTTCTGGAATTGTGAGTCCGCAGTTAAGTGGCCGACCACTCCTCACTCCTTCATTCCTGCACATTCTTAAAGGAAGAGGTTGGCTATTTATTCTTATCACACCGGTCCTCTGAACAGCCCTAGTTTTGTTGACATTCTAATTCTATACATCTTTTGATTTTTTTTTTTAGTATCCTCTTTCTTTTCAATAAAATCATTGTGCTGAGTTTCTCTATATTGTGTTTCTATTGCTTAAATTGTATCATTACCCTTCATTTTAGAATTTTAGGCACTGTTCTCACCATCAGAGTTTAATCTATCAACACAGTAAGAGCAAATTATTCTATCCTCCAGGAAGTAAATCTGCAACTGATACAGCTATTTTAAAAGTGCTTCTCCTGTGATCTGCCTCCTGAGTAAATATAGTTAAAGGAGAGGCCAGAAGTGCACTCAATCCTTCTTTTACATTTTTTTCCTGGAGGCATGTTCCTATTTTTCCATTGGTTTGAAAAATAAAATCCATTTGTTTATATAGCGGTACATCATGTTTAAATATAAAAATATGAATACAAATGTGTATATGACTGCATCACTATTGATCAGTGAGTGGTTCTCTATTACACTATAGTAATCAATCACTAATTCAGAAAACCTGTTTTCTTTAATGAAATTATCCACTGAAACGCATGGACTAAGTTTGTAAGGTTATCTTTTGGTACCATCCTCATGATTCTGAATAATTTCCCGGATATTTTTAATAATCTGGTTTACCTGTAAAACTAGTATTACTTTTTAAAATCAATATGTTCATTATTTAGTGTAAAGTTTCAATAGTATTGAGAATTGTACTTCTAAAGGAAGATTTCCTAATCTAATAATGGAAAATTCTAGAGTATTTCTCTTTATTTTGAATTATTAAAAATTTGCCACTAAAGTGGTTTTCCATGAAAAATATTGCACAATGGGAACAAAATTAAAATAAAATATTAAAGACAAAATGTAATGGGAGAGGAAATCAGATTGTGTATAAACGACTGTACTCCAACCTAGGCAAATGTTTATTGCACTGGAACCCAGAATTAAGTTATTGCTTTAATTATGGTAACCAAGATAAAAGTGAAATATGGTATATTGCCTAGTTTTAGTTTCCTTTAAATTTTAGCCTGCTGTTATCATATACCACTTTTTAAAAGACTTATATTTGTGTCACAGCAAAGGGATCAAACTGGGGACCTTGTGCTTGTGAGGAAGGCGGAGGAAGCACTGAGCTAAATCCTTGGCCCCAAGTTTCCTTAATTTTTTTCTCATCGAGTTTATTGGTACATATCAGGTATACAGTATAGTTACATTCATCATTGGGATCTTGTACCTTTACATGACAGGTCTTGGTTCTCATTTTTTCCCCTTATCCCTGCCCTCCAAGTTTCCTTAATTAACAGGCAATAACCAATTTCCCCCAGCTTGTGAATTAAAAATTTTTTTCATATTAATGGGTCATAGAGTTGACAATGGCTTCAGGTTTGGTATCAGTAGGAGTCATTTCAATGCAAATGGAAAAATAAACTAAAAGATGGAAAGTGAAATGGACTGCCTCACAAAATTGCAAAACATGAAGCAGAATGGCTGACTTTGTTTAAACTGAGTAGGAAGTATTTCCTCAATCTTTTCCTGTGTTGGTTTCCTTTTTCCAATCTACAGCAATGTGGCACAGAGAAGAGACTGCACACAAGAGGGCAGAGCCATATGGATGCCAGCTAAAACTGTGGGGCCAATACTGGATGGAAGGTCCCATGGTTTTTGGTGTCTCAAACAAAGAATTGGACGAAACATGCGGAAAAGGCAGTGGAGGTGTTCATTTATCTATTTATTTATTTATCTTTTCATTTGTTTTTTTGTTTTTGTTTTTGTTTTTGTTTGTTTTGCTTTTTTTTGTTTGTTTGTTACGGGGGATGAAACTTGGGTCCTTGAGCTTGTGAGGCAGGCGGCAGCACCACTGAACTAAATTCCAGATCCGGTGTTCATTCAATGAAGGTAGAAAAGAAGTACTTTCGTCAAGGTGAGAGCAGGCGCTGGTAGACCGTCTCACAACACCTGCGGGATAAGAGAAAAACCTTCTTTTGTGTCCAAATTTCCTAGATTGGCTTCCCTTCACGCAAATAAGGCACTGGGTCATTTGTTCTACCAAAAGTTCACTTGATATGCCATATTTAAGTCTTTTTAAATCTTATCGAAAGACTTGGGTGGCTTCCTACCAGTTATAAATGAAGGACTGAAAAGAGCACTTTTCTGATTGGTTCTAAGAACAGCACCAGATTCAAATGAAGGACTGAAAATATCCCTTTCTGATTGGTTCCACCAACAGTGCTCAGGAGCGGTGAAGTCTTTTTGGGTTCTGAGTTCTGCGCATGTCCTCTGGGTTCTTATCACCTTGGACACATTTTATCCAGTTGTTTGTCTAGCTGGTAATCCCTTGAGGATTTCCAGCAAATTTTGGGGAGGGTTCTGAATTTCTAGTTGCCATGTGACGATCTGGCTGTTAAAAGACAGGATCTCTGGCTGAAATGCAAGTTCACTTGTGCTTTTGACCATACCAAGATCAATGAAGATATGAAGAATGGGAATCCAGCTGGAAATATGTTTTTATTTTTAAGTAAGTAAAACCCGTCTGAGGAGCTAAATATATATGCCAGGTGGTTTTTTTTCCGTTGACATTTAAAATCATAAAAAATTTAAATTGGGTCCAAATATAGTAAGAAAGTATATATTACATAATGTTTGAATCTTTTACAGCTATGAAACAATAGCTGTAAAATTAAAATGGGTTTAGTCAAACTGAATATCCATCAAGAATAATTACTTAACAAGGTAAAGAAAATCATTATTAAAAGCTGCTATCATCAGTGGGATGCAGGCAGGCCACAAGCTCTGACCTCAATATATATGTAAATGTGCAAGTTAAGTTCTTAAATGTAGCCATCACTTCTGACTAAACTCAATACTGTCTTGAAAGGGAATGTAAATATATTGAGTAAAATGTTATTAAGCAATACATACTTCATTTTCACATATGATCTTTGTATTTTCCACTGAAAAAATTTCTATTGTTAGATAGTCCCTTTTATTTTTTAAATGAAAAGATAGCTTGTGATATATTGAAGAGACATAAATAAATGCCAGCTCTTTAGGCTATTGATATTTTCACTTTATAGTGGTGAGCTAACAGATGGCAGCATCTCCTTTGTACCTCTAACCCTTAACCAATACCTAGAACATCACAGTAGTGCAACAAATGACTTTGAATGAAACAAAATTTAGAGTGAAAAGGCAGCAGTGCATTACTGATATTTCATACATGATAATTGAATCACTCCATTTCTCACATTTTTGATACCTGCTACTTCTTCTATGCCTATAAGAAAATCAATAGATGATTTGTTATGCCTTCAATGGATGTTAAACTAATAAAAGAGTTTTACCTTATCAGACAAATCCGGTCCTGGCACAAAATACTCTATTAATAAATGTTTATTGAATGAAATCATTTCAAAGTCACCTTGAATCTTGAGCAATTATTATTGGTTTGTCAAATTCCTGTATATAAACAAATCAAATAAACAGAGAGAAAAGATTTAGTATCTTACCAGGGGTCAAAGTTCAGGGAATGCCAAACAAATACAAACCAAGTCAACTCTCATGGTCATAAATTGGAGGTCTAGATGATTTAATTTAACATAATAAATTTTTCACTGAAAAGTGAGAGATTCTTCATTAGATTTTAGGATCCTGTATAAACAGTCTCTGTTTTAAGAAAAGCTTTTGGTCAGTGGCACTGTGCCTGCCTCCCTCTCAAGCACAAAGTCCTGAGTTTGATCCTCTGAACCAAAAAAAGAAAAAAAAGAAAAGCATTTATCCTAAACAAATCCCCAAGCTTATCAATCCAGTAGATTACAGTAGAAAATAACCTATCTACTAATTTACCTTTATATATGGTAGTTCATTTTTATGCTGAGATCACATTATCTCTAAAATTTTAGGTACTGTATTTTACAAAATTTTACAAAAAGTGGATTTGCATCTTAGTTCTGCAAATTTGTTTTCTTAAAAGATTCATCCTGAGTAGTACTTTCCAAACCTGAAGGACCATCAAGTGCCTTTAGAGAGCTTTTGAAAAAACACACAGATTTTGAAATCTTTCCCAGACATCCATGTTTAGCAGGTCTGGTGGGGCCTAGGTATTTCCCTTCATGAGCCAGATTCGAGCTTGCCACTGTGGATTATTAACCAGAAGGAGTTGCCCAAGATTAGAGTCAAAGACAGGCCTTAAACTGAGATCACTTACAAACTGCTGATTGCCTTTGTTTCTGAGCTCTTTTTGTTTGAATCTTGTTAACTTTCGAATCAGGTGAAGGTTCAGGTTTCCTCATCTCAATCTTTAATCACATGGTTTTTAGCCTTAATCACATGGTTTTTACAAAATATACAAAATGTTGGCTTTGCCGTAGGGCTTGCATCCTACTAAAATCCCTACTTAAACTACCCAGAAAATTCAGGGCATATTAGTAGGAAACAAAGCAAAACTTCATGTAGGTTTATTTACCACAATATTCATCCCAGAGTAAAATAAAACTTACAACTTATTTACTTCTGCACACAGAAAAGTTGTATTTTTTCTATTCTGAAGTTCATGAATTATTAGCAAGCTGGGAACTAGATCAGTGTTAAGACATAGCAGATCATCCGAATAATCTTGTTTCAAATGCCAAATGCCATTATAAACAGATGTACTGGAGCTATTTTCTAGTGTTTGGTTCATTTATATAATGGCAAAGAGGGCCTCCCCTGACTATCATTGAAATCCAGTTTTATCTCAGTGAATTTCCTCTCAACCACATCAAACTCCCAACCCTGGAAAAGTACTCAAAAGTCATTCAAGTTAGGATATCAATGCCTAGATCACTTATTAATATATGGATACAGGCTAAACTAGCTTTTACACTTCAAAATAATGTCAGCTTAGTACTACAATGAAGGATATATTCTTAGGTGCCCAATATATCAAATGTTTTTAGCACTATTTTGCCCCAAACATCAGTAGATTGTTTCATTACCTTGTTGCTTTACATTTCATGTGATTTCTATATATCAGGTCTTACTGGGGTGGTGTTTGGGGGATTCAATTCTAATTTAGGTTGAATTGCTTCAAATCCTGGTGGTAGTAAAGACATGATTAACCAAACTCCTGGTTCATTTTTTCATATAAAGTAAAGTATCAAGATATTTGGATGAGCTCACAATTCTATTTCTAAGATATTTGATTCCATGATTTTGTAGATAATAGTCTTCAGATGGATAGGTTTACAATTGGAATATTTAAATAAAAATAATATTTTAGGGTGTTGTTGTAGAATACATAATTAGCATGCATGGGATCCTTGATTTAATCTTCATAATAATAAGAATAAGATACGTTACAAATCTGTTAATAAAATATACATTGTTATTTTGTCTGTGGCACTATTAGTTTCTGCATCTTCTTTTTCTGTCATAATCACTCATTTTTGTTTTTTCCTTTGATTTTATTTAGATAGTATGTCCTCTTTTAAAAAATGCCTATTCAGAATGTTTCAATGGGTTTTAAATAACATTTTCCATTTCAAATACCTGTGCTTGTTGCTACTTACAATTATTCCTCAGATGTATTTCAATATATTAATGTTTCAAATACTAAGAAAGTTTTAGCAGAAATAAATGAAATCTTTTCCTCTCATTTTCATTTTCATATAAGATTTTAAACAGCAAGGACTAAGTCAAGGTCTCAAGGTCATTTGTCACGAAACAAAGTAACTTGCAGGTTGAATGTGAAATAGAATCCAACATGAAACTTATTTTTCTCTTGAATTTTTCCCCTTTGAAAAACTTCTCCTTCCTTAGTTGCTATAATCTCAGGCTAAAAACAGGTATAGGAGCTACTGTATTATGAATTATATTTGGCAGGATATCCTTCACTTAAGAAGCACCAAGTACAAGATTTTTAATAAATGAATAAGGACAATTTCAATGAAGACAACTAATATTTTATATTTTTAGAAAAAGTAAAGGTAAAATACAGCCCTTGATAGAAAATGTAATTTCAGAGAGCTGTTAATCCTATAGATAGTTGTAAAGAGAAATATGCTTCATCTTGTAGAAATGGTCTAAAAATGTTTGTATCATATAGTGCTGCCCATAACTGCTACTATAATTTATAAAAAAAGAGACTAAAATGGAATGATATTTTAGTTTTATCTGAGTCATTTTAGGCATAAAATATCATCACAAGATGACTCAAATGAATTACTTCTCACATTTATCACTCATAACAGTATTTTAGTTTTCTTACATTTCACATTTTTTATTTTTGTTAAAAGTTCAAATTATTTAAGTCTCAGAAGAGAAGAAAAAAGTGCTTACATATTGGATCTGTACTTAAAACAAAAATATCTCATGGAAAACAAGTATTTAAAAATGTTTGCTATTCCCCTAAAATTAAACCATAGCATTCTAAATAATTGAGTAGTTCACATCAGCTACTTAACTCACCGTAGAGCTAAACATTTTCAGGTTTTATTCCAATGGTATTACTTAAAATGTGGTCTCCAAAAATGTTTGTAGACCAAAAAAATCTCTTTAAAATAATAGCGTATCCCTACCCATTAACTTTCCTTTTCATGCATTAACTTTTCCTGAGGGTGATATCTATTAATATGTACATTTCTAGGGCTATTAGAGTAACTCATTTCACTCCTCAAAAGGATAACCCCTTCTTAAGTGACCTGTTTGGGGATCAGAGCAATACTTTACATACAATTTTTTTCTGCCATGAGAATAGGTCATCCCAAGATTGGAAGAAGTTATTGGTATTTTTCCATTCATCTCAGGGTGGCAGCAATTTAAACTTGGAAGTAGATCTTACCTCATAATGCTTCAGACCACTGGGTACATCTATGTGATCCAATAACGGGGTGGATTTCACACTGCTTGCCCAACTTCAGTCTTATAAAAAGTTTTCTGGGTGACAGCAATCTGCCAAAGCTGTTACCAAATGGCACTGCTCTGGAACTCTGCACAGAGGTGCCAGCCAATGTAAAATGGCACCTATTCTTTGAGCCAAGCACTGAAGTCGTACTTCAGAGCTTAAAGTGACTGCTATTTTGTTATTACATTCCATAAAATATTCTTTCTTCTATTCAGAAAGAACCAACATACTTTGGAAACAATTGGGAAATTGCCTCTTCCTGTATAATAATTATTGCAGCACAGAAAATAGTGCTTTTAAAACCACGGAGTGAATTTTAAATTGTAATCTTTTGTAGCTCTCATTCTCTGTTCCAGCTCATGAATCATCCTTTTCATACCTTGGGTAGATGAGAAGGAACCTTATGAAATTCTCCTGTATCACCTGCATTGCCCAAATCCCAAGGGGCAGTCCAGGTGTTGGAATAATGCGGCCAATTCCATGAACATATCTGGTGCGCTCATAAATATTCCACAATCACAGGGACAGAAACCACTAAGTGAGCAGCCTACTAACTGAGAAGCAAAGGAGAATTGCATGGCAACTGAAGCTGAGGACTGGGGTAGGGACACACATTCTGTTAGCATTGTGGTCAG